GCATGAGTGATGGTGAGGTATGCCCGAGGAGCTGTATACGAGTGACTGTGAGGTTTGCCCGATAGGCTGTATATGAGTGATGTTTTGCCCGAGGGGCTGCTTATGATTTCACCATTTTGATCACCTTTGCATTGAGCCTTTGTTGAAAACTGTTAAAAAATATCTTAAATAATTTTTACTAGAACTAGATTTAAACGAGATGATTCGATTCAAAATCTGATTTTTAAAGCATGTTGTATTTTACTGAGATTTCATGATATGAACTTTAAATACTTTATTGCTCTTCACTACTGCTGAGCCTTTATTTACTGTTGTTACTTACTGAATTGGCGTACTCACGTTTCTCCATGCACCTTGTGTGCAGATCTNATCGAAAAGCGCCCAATTTAGTAAAGGGGCAAATTCGTGAATTTAATTCCTTCTGGTATTATGTTATTATAGAATCGGAAAACAATATACTTAAATACTATCCAAACTAAAGTAGAGAGCAATTAAATTAACTTCCTCTTCTTTCTCTTTAGTTGTATTGAAAAAATTAAACTACTTCAAATCCCGTAAGTGCTGCAAATTTTTGCACAATACGAGTATAACTTCAATGGCGGACCCAAAAGTAGGTATCTGTGAAAATGCCCCTTTTTTCGTCGTATAACGTCCAATCTAGTAAAGGGGCAAATTCGTGGATTTAATTCCTTCTTTTTTTATAGAATCAGAAAACAATATACTTGAATAATATCCAAACTAAGTAGGGAGTAATTTTATATTGAACATCCTCTTCTTTCTTTTTATTTTCCCTAGATTATGTTTTAATGTTGCTGAGGATAGTATTCCACCTTAGTTAATATGTGCTTGTCATTTTTCTTCAGATATATATCAAGAGAAGAGCTAGAGCAAGCTCTGCGAGAATTTGGTATGAATGACGAAAATGATTTGAGGGAAATCATTGATGAAGTTGACACTGATCATGTAAGTCAAAACAACTAAATATACACATGCCAATACACATTCATTCTTTTTTTTCTTTGAGTTTGACTATATTTTCCTGAACCGAGGGCCTATCGGAAACAACCTCTACCTTCACAAGGTAGGGATAAGGTTGCGATACACTATCCTTCCCAGACCCACTTGTGGAATTACGCTTGGTTTGTTGTTGCTGTTGTAATAAATAATAAGTTCATCAATCAATATTTTTTGGTTTTGCAGGATGGTCGGATAAATTACGATGAGTTTGTAGCAATGATGAAGAAAGGAAATCCTGAAGCAGCAACAATGAACCCAAAGAAAAGAAGGGATTCATTTGTTGCATAAATTTTCATCATCAATTAATGAAAAATGTCTCAAAAGAATGAAAGACAATTATGTTAATTGTCCTTGTTGTAGAGAAGACCAAACTATTACATAGTAAAAATTTCAAGAACCATTCATGAGACATTGTATATTAAATATGATATTAAGAAGAAACACACACATACACACATTTACAAAGAATAGATTGTAAAAGTCATGGCTATGTTGAGATTTGAGGGTTAATAGGATCTTCTAATGCCAAACGCAGTTTGGTTAAAGCTTTGATCTGAAAAGAATGGAGGTCTTTCAGAGTATATATGTATCGATACTTCTGCAATTTAGAAAGTAGGTTTAAAAGTTCATTTTAATCCGTTACCTCTCAGATATTTTTCGTGTAAACATCATATTCATTCACTCCAATTGTGTTTGTTAGTACTTCGTTTTATACCTCAACTCTAGAGATGTAATATGTGCAAATAAATTAACACACGGAAGAAGAAATATACTTTTTTGTGTCCGAGCCAGCTTGTCCACATCTCGACGAGTATATGGTATCTCCCATCAGCATAGAAACATGCTTAACTCTGTCCATCAAAGCTTAAACAAATGAGAAGAAAGTACCTAGCATTTTCTTTTCCTCTCCGCCGCTGGAAATTGAATCTTGGTCTCCTATAGTTTTCTCCTATTTCATTGATGCTCGGCCGCACTCTTGGCTGCCAGAAGAAGAAATATATATTTGAGACAATTTCTCGTCTGTTTTTCATTGCAAATGAACAAAACAATTCATTAAACTTATAGCCTACTTTGATTCAAGACAACACAACAAGGTAACAAAACTAGAAAACTATAGTTGACCACAGCCTGCTAAAATACAACTTATTATCCCCATTGCCCCCTGCTGCTAGGGATCCCCAGCTCATCCACTGTGATTCTTTGAACTTGCGATTATAGGTTGGAAGTGAAAGACAACGCATCACTAAGCCAACCCTTTTTTTCCCCTTTTTTTGTGATTTTTGGATCAGTTTGCGTGCATCTCGATGGATTCACTGGATACCTGCAACCTCCGACCACCACAAGTACCGAGTATGGCCTAGTGGTCAATAAAGTGCGTTAAGAGCCATGAGGTCTCAAGTTCAAATATAGTAGAGGCAAAAACACTAGGTGATTTCTTCCCATTTATCCAAGCGTAGATAGAGTTACCTGGTTACTGGTTACCTGCTGCTATAACCTGTTGCTAGTGGGAGGCAGCAGGTATCTCGTGAAATTAGTCGAGGTACGTGCAAGTTGGTCCAGACACCACGATTATCATAAAAAAATTAAAAAAAAAAAAGGGTGGGTGGGGGTGGGGGTTACTTTATATTCCTTAAGCTCTGCTCAGTCCCTTAAGAAATCCTATTCCTTTTTTTGATGAAGTAAGAGATATTATAAAAAGTATCAAGAAGATGCAAAAGAGCACTGTCCAGGTGCTAATACAAAAGATGATATGTTAGCTCTGTACAGATGGTCCTATGCTAGTGTTAGGGAGCTAACAAAATCCAAAAATAATTCGGGGGAGCTAATAGGGGAGAGGTTACTCCAGCTTTATAAAAAAACTATACAATTAGCTTTCAAGGAGTAATTAGGAGTTGCTAAACCCTCAAAACATCTTCTATTCCTTTCTGTCCAAATAACCCAAAAAATACATCCAGGAATCATTTTCCAGATCTTGCTGATGGATTTACCAACTTTCCATCGACTCCAGCTACTATAAGCATCTTTAGTACTCTCTGGCATCACCCAGTTGAATCCTAAAACTGAAAGGA